TTAACATCAATTGCGCCAATTACTTTATAGCATGCATGTGTAGGGCACATTATATGCACTATCTAAGTGATAGAATTACTGAAGAACATTTAGCTAGCGAGGAGACCTAAGTACAGCTAGATAGATTATTCTGTTCCTATCAAGTTTCTTCAAAAGATGTGGTTTAAACTGTCAAACACCAAGCGGTCACCGGTGACCGCAACCTATTGTTCTATAATTGTGTCTATAATGACGGTACTCAACGAGTTAAAAGACTTACGAAATAATACTAAAGGCAAGGAAGATTTTAGAAGACTATTGGCTTATCGGTACCGTGTCATACAAAGTAGCTCAGAAACGATTCCCGATTTCTTACAATTCCATTTCGTCCATATTCAAAGAACACAACTCACCGCAAGGTCTTGAAGGCACGTTCTTCATACATACTGGTTTTCATATCAACATCAACAAGACTTTTGACAAGCATAAAATACGTTTCGAGGAAAAATCATTAAAGACATTTAAAGGTAAATCCCATACAAATACATTTTCCAAGAAAATAATGGCTGACATTTGTAATGTATCGTGTAGTGTAATTCTATTTTTATGATGCAAAGGCGTCCATTTGACTGCTTCTAGCAATTGTTCAATTAGAATAAATTCTCTAGGGCTGTGGCTTCAGTCTTTTCAGAGCAAATCTTAGTTAAAATTGCAATGCTATAAAATATATTTTTGATAAAAACCTCTGACACGCTATTAAGTATTGAGATTTGAAGCACAAATTACTTTATCATGTATGAAAATGGTCACTAAGTGCTAAGATCCCTCATACGTCAAAAATTGCATTATAATAAAGTTTGAACCTCTTCGTTTTTTATTGTATTAATCGCTAATCTATGTATATCTATAAAAATGAATCCCTTTTTCCTTGGTCACGGCAAAGCTGGGCCGATTTCACTAATTATTTTTGTTGTATTTGTTATTTTTAGGAGAAGGTTCTTAAGACATAAAAAATCCTGAAAATCCTATGGGAACGGGAGAAAATGGGATTGCGCGTACGAAGTCGCGGGCAGAAGCTAGTTCTTAATAAATACAGCTTGTCTAGTTCTCTAATACATAAATAAAGAAAGCACCTAACCGCACCAATTTCATTTCAGAAATAAACTAACTCTAGAAAAGACAGAGTTCGCGTGACATCCCTAAATTGTAATGATAACAATAAACGTATGTTGTCGAGCAAAATGATCCAGACGGAATTGATCCAACAACATTCAATTAACTAGGACAGTTACTTTCCAGAACTTTCTGAACGGGTATATCTTAAACGACAATGATATGTTTTATATTCATTGTTAAAAGAGAATAAAGTCACGTAAGCCAAATAGATTTCCATTTCATTTATTCATTAAACAAGATTTAGACTGCCTCGTTAGTCGAGTGGTTGCAAGTGCGACTGCCAGCCAAGGGGTCTACGGTTCGGATTCGGGGTCGGGCAAAGTATTACTGGGCTAATTTTGCCCGGTATAATTATGGTAATAGGCTCACCCCTATTCCACGGGAGTCTTAATATAAATAGTGAAAAGTGGGTGTTACATTGTACAGTGGCATTAAGTGTCGTAATGTGCGCCTCGGCCTACCCCTTCAGGGATAAAAGGCGTGATGTTATGATGTTATGGTGTTCAAATTAACGGTAGCCCCTTATTACAAGTTGCGCCAAATAAGTCGCTACCGGTAAGCTACCAGCAACTACATCGGTGTCTGCTTAATATGACTCTTCTCAGAAGGAACATATTTAATAAGGTAGATACTGTTACAAGCTGGAAATTAGTTCAGCCTTGTCCTTTATTTACACTGTTTACATTTAACAATAATTTGAAATAAGGCTATAGAAACTCATGGTATCAGATCATAGAATTAAAAACTCAGATAAAATCGTTTTTAAAAGGTAACATCTGCTAAGTACTCTGGTCTTTACTTTCAGTCCAGCAGCTGTAGCCAAATGCCATTTAACGCTTGTCTACGTGTAGAATAGAAAACCAAATTACATATATGGAATTGATGTAAATTTTTAAAACACGTCAGTGTCATCCCCATACATTTAGTTTTGTACTCTCTCTGTAGACAAGCGCTAAAGTGGCATTTGGCTATATGGGCACAGAATCGACATGAATGCTTTCTATAGTTGCAATATAAAGTAGTGTCCACAATTAACAGGACATTGGATGCTCTTACTGCCTAAAAATGCCTCCAAATTGAGTACCTAATTTTAAAGAAAAGACATATATTGATGTGCTCACAAATAAAACTACCACGCCTAAACAATAGTAGTCTTTATTAATTGACAGCTACGTCTTAATTTTGAAATTCCAAGAATTAAGACTGATGCCTGGCGACAGGCATTTGACGGACTGTATCAAATCATTTCAATTTGGTCTAAAACTGAGAATTCAATTTACTTTGCTTGTCGGCTATACGAAAAACTGTAACTGATTGCATTGAACAGTGTAAAATTAAATTAACGTTGGAAAATTGTAGGTAAGTTCTTACTGATGCTACCTATCCACGTTTTTGTTTACCAAAAATAAAGCTGTTTCTATACATGGTGTTGTTTTAAAACCGCGTCATTCTCTAGGAGGTAACTCGGCTACCAATTCTGAGTTCGATACAATAAAAAAATTATAGGTAAATATTTTTCATTTTTCTGTAAATTATGGAAATCCGTAAGTATGAACTACACACCGCCGTCTTGTAACTAGCTTTATAACGCGGCTTAACACACACAAACTCAAACACGTAAATGATATTATTCCTTATTCCATAAAACTCCAATAAGAAACATTGCTGTCGCTTATTCTGAAATACTGTCGAACTTCAACGATTTATTATAGCCGTATTTTAACTACCTTTATGACTTCTGTGACATGCCCCCGAGAAATGTCACGGTTTCAAAACTACACCTTGTATAACTATCGTGAGACATACTGAGTTAACTTCAAATAATGAGGAACGCTCATGAGGAAGAGCTCCTCTGTAACTCGAAACTAGTAGAGCTATATTCACATGATTAAACCGTTATTTTTATTAAAAAATATAGCTACCGAAGGAAATGACCCTCAGTTAATATGTAAAGTGCTTCCGTACCGATGACATCAACTTCAACTTTCATAATATCATCTATCCTACTTCTTAATCGGATAGTAAGTCCCAATAACCACTTCGGTTGCCACTCCTACAAACACCGATCACGCTGATGGATGGGCAACTTAATGGGCTATAAAACAAATGTGTTTTATATACCTGCATTATATGAATAACGATGAGGTTATTCAGTCTTTTTCATTGCTATCTATCATTTTAATGTCTGTTGTTAAATATTATGATGGATTGCTTCGTTGTCCGAGTGGTCGCAAGTGCGACTGCCGGCCAAGGGGTATCGGTTCGCGGGTCAGGCAAAGTAACACTAAAAACAACTACAATTGTTTAAAATACACTAGAAACTATATATTTTCCTAATACTTCACGTTGGTATTTTCCAAGTCACGTACCATTCTAAGGTCTTCTAACATGATAAGAGGAATTAAATAACATTATGTTTAAAACCTCCCGCTATTTAAAAGACAATCTATTGGTTTATTCCAGGGTGACGTAAATCCCGAGGAATGAGCTATAAAAGGCGTTTATCTATCTAGTCTAATTATAGGTCTAGGTGCCTTATAGGAGCTGATGATGGTCACCGGAGCGGTTTTAAAGAGGATAGAATCCCAATCTTCCTTCTAGGTTACTTTCAAATTGAAAGATGGAAGAGAACTGAATCGCGGTCGGCCATATCATTGGTTGTTAGAATAATCTCGACCAATGACAGGCGAGAATGCGATCGGATCGGTCTTACTTTGAACGTTCCGATTGACAGTTACAGTTGCTGGTCTTTCTCCCTTAAAGTTAGGCGCCTTTCAAAAGAGAGGTTTAAAATGTGGTTTATTAAAATGTGGTTAATTAGAATTTTTATTTTTCGCAGATAGTACTCCAGTCACAAAGAAATCCATCAACGAAATTTGAAGTTTGGCGAAAAACCGCCAGTTCCATACTTTTAACACATTAAGTAAACTTATTTATTATTTAAAATGAATAAATAAGTATTCAGTTTTATCCTCAAGAGGAAATACATAAACAGTTCATTTACATGTTTTTTGCTGAACTCATCCATATTTATAGATTTACCTCAATTATAAATAACGAAAGGACGTGCTATGTAAATAATTATTTATGATTTAATTATTATTTTCTGTGGTCAATGCTATTTCCAGGTAAATCTTTCACCTATATTGTACCTGGGTGTTTTATGTGTACTTATTAATTGACTTGTTTAAGTATTTTTAATTATTTTCCTACCTAAAAGTATCTACATATGCCTACTATAGGCGTATATAGAAATTTTTTAATAGAAAATGTATCAAACTAGGTCTTTTGTAGAGTAAAGGTTCCGATTCCGATAACCTCATTCACACATCGAAACAGCGTAGACGTTAGTTTAGGAAAATGATCAAGTTCACGCTTAAAACGATTCGCTCTGCCTACAAAACTACAGTTTTTTAATTTCACGTGCTAATATTGATATCATAATTTCATGGAAATCACCAAAACATTTCAAACTGTCCAACATAATGCAGCGAATTGCTTTAATGTGGTACCTACACAAAGATGTAGAGATATTCGAATTACACACCCTGTATACTTGCAATATATACTGGTTGATACTTTATATTTTTCTTTATTTGATGGGCCTACGTTTGGTTGTTATACCAATCTATTTAGTTTCTAATGTATTACTTTTTTAGTTATTCTAAATTGGAAATATGTACAATTTTGTAATTCATTTTAGCTAGAGTTACCCAATAGTACCAAAAAAATATGTTGTATAACAATAAGCTCAGTTCTGAAGCAATCGAATAAACGGTACCTGGTTACTAAGGTCTCATAAAAATAGGAAAATAATAATATAATTCTAAGTTCTTTCAACTTACCTACAGATGTCCCAGCTCAGAAGAACTTAGGTCCTGCAAAAGAGGAAAATACTGCATTATTATATTGTTATAAAACTTGTTATTACACATATCGTAATTACTCGTGTTGGTACAGGTAATAATAACTCATAATAATATTAAAAAAATGTATAAAGTACAGTAATTCATTTTATGATACCTAGTACAGCATCATACAAATACAAAATGGTATTTTAACTATATAAAAAATCTATTTCCTTCCTATAGACTGCACGACATCATATGTGATCGCATCATATTATAATTGCAGCTATTAATGAACTATACAAGTCCAATGTCCACGTTGTCATTTGACGAATGCATGCTCGCTTCAGAAATAACAAATACTTGCAACTTGCTCAGTAACAATGAAAACTGTCCACGAAGCGGCAATATTAGGTTTATCTTTTTCAACGCCTGTTTAATTTTGTCAGAAGCATAACTAAAACTCTGACGATTATTCCATACTATTAAACATTACGCCTTTTATCCCTGAAGGGGTAGGCAGAGGTGCACATTATGCTAGTGTACCTACAATGTAACACCCACTTTTCACTATTTATGTTATGAGTCCCATGTAATAGGGGGTGAGCCTATTGCAATACACCGTGCACAATTCCAGACTCCGTGCTACTACTGAGATTTTTTTTGAAACCCAGTATTACCTTGCCCGACCCGGGAATTGAACCCGAGACCCCTTACTCGGCAGTCGCACTTGCGACCACTCGGCCAACGAGGCAGTCTTCTTCTTCTTCCATACTAAAAACTGTCAAATGTCAATTTTATTCTTCAGTTAGGAATTATTTGTTGATGCATGCATTCGACAAATGACGCAACGTGGAGAGTTACCCTAAATGTTAGTGTTAATTGAAAATCAATATTCGAATAATTATTATCGGAAAAATTAACACTATTCCTATTACAATACACCTTCTTAAATGCACCTACATCATAAATGATCATAACTGAATCAGAATCTATAAATTCTCAAAACATATTAAGAAATAATCCCTAATCTCTCAACGTAAACTCAAAAAGAACTAAAGAAATTAACATACGATTTTCGCTAACGGATAGATTGATTCTTGAGAAAGATTGAATACCGGCTTGTTCTTAGAATATAACACGACGTATCTCTATATGATAATAAACATGCACCACGGCAAAACCTGTAGTACTGCCTGTACCAGTTGAGTCTGTACCTACGTGTGCAGAATTACAGTACAATACCTGACAAGAAACATTGCACAATTAGAAAATTTATTATTGACCGCTACTTTCTTCGTAAATCATAATTATTTCTTACATCTTCTGTGTTTAGCATCAAAATCCGTTGTCTAGTTTAAAGGGTCTCAGCATTACATAGGGACATACATCGATTTTGTTTTATGTAGGTATACTATGTAATGTCTGTCACTAAAATAGACGAAAACGTCTAACGAAAAAGAACGAAGTAAATCTTAAACGAATGTTATACTTCGATAAAATACACAAATTTCCACAGGCCGATGTGCAGTATTCACCGCCGGGTACAGTACCTACATCAAGGACTGCCCTCAGTACTTTTCCACTGAGTTGCATTACATCACAGATCGGGTTCAATGACCGGAGCCGGTCCGCTTCGGTGCGAGAAGCCAGTATGCATAATTTTACACGAGGTCGAAGGAAAGTGTTTTTTTTATAATGTTGTTTTTATCATTAAAAGTGGTTTGGTAGTCTGATGAGTGGAACAGCTGGCTGTAAGATTGTAGATTCGATGCTTGTTTTGGCCAACATTTTCTTTGAGTGAGGCGTAGAGTATTAAATTCCATCATTTTAATTTTTTTATGGAATAAGCCGGTAAACGTGCAGACGGATCACCTGATAGTAAGCAATCGGCGCAGCCCATGGACACCCGAAACACCTGAAGTGTTACAATTGCTGTATCGACCTTTTGGGGATTAGGAATTTAAGGGTTATTGGGGATTCAAAGATTGGGGAGAGGGGTAATTGAACCTCTGGCAACCTCACTCGCACGACGAATCACAACTGATTCCACATGATGTGGGATCTGTTTTCTTCTGAAATTCCTATTGCTTGATTTTTGACAGGCACATCTCTACAAATCCAGAAAAAAAACATACGTAGGTAGTTACTCAACATGTATAAAGTTAATCACGTTAAAATGCAATCAAATAACTACACTCCTAGCACTAGTAGTATTGTTCTAGAAAAGAGGTTAAGAAATTACTCTAACGACCTCATTAACCTTGACCGTATATGTTTGACCTTTTATTGGCCATGTTAAATGTTCCTTTACATAAGAGACGTGGAAGTCAAATTGTTTTGACATAACAATCTTATATCATCAAGTTCATGGAATTCTTTTTACGCCAACCACGAAGGGTTATGTTTTTTTATACGTAATATGGCTGATGCTACATATTGAATGAACAATGAATATGCTTTTTCTTTAACAGTTTGTTCGACTTTAAACTCCCTAATAGGCCGTTGCTATAATATTATATGCCTCGTCGTATATCGTATAATATGTCGTACCTATGTAGGTATTGCCTATTTTGTGGGGGGGGGGAATTATCCAATGACTTGGGATTCTCTCGCCTTGGGTGAGGCGAGAGAGTGTCAGGCTTACTGACTGAAAACCACCCCGTTCGTACACCTGCTTTGAGCTGGAGCCCAAGTAACCTGTTACGTTCTCTACAGCTCCAGGACCTATGTATTGCCTGATATCTGGATTTTGGCTACTTACAGAATACAATGATACATTTTATACAATAAACAATAATAATAATTTATTCGGAAACCCAAACAGACAATCATGTGCGAACAATTAACACATGTTACACACATACGTACATACAAAAATGATAACCTCCTTTTTATAGTCAGTTAAAAATAGAACCTTCGAGAAAATAACAGTTCCTTATAGGCTTTCACTTTCATTCGTATAACTACAGTAGAATTATAAATACAATAGCGTGCATGTTTAAATTACCAACGGTCAATTGGCCTATTAAAAGACTATTGTAAGAACTATAGGGTCCTTTTGTTTGTTAAATGCTGCACCAATATTGATGGTCTTTAATTTAGCTTCACTGACGGACAGACTGACAGACTATTATTTATTTCATATTTGTTGACGTTTCAAAAGTACCAAATTATGGTTTAATTGAAATAAATGCTTTTTAGTTTGAGTTTGAGTTTAGATTACGTGCAAATGGACAATGATCTGTGTTCAGTTGTATATTGATAATACGACTTTTGAGACAGTCATTGCTTACTTGTAAAAAAATAGTTATGAAGTAAAATCTTTATATGTAGTAAGTAAATGTACGAAAATGAGCGAAGGAAGGTTATAAGAACTATTAAATTCGGCCTTTAAAATCCCATAAATCTTTCATATCCGCAGGCCTTATTATTTACATAATTGCTAATAGAAAACCAGTCGCCTCTTCAACAGCCACAATAGATCAATTATCAGATCCAAGAGCGCCACTAACCTATCCGAACAAACTATTTACAAACAAAACACAATCCTAACACAAAACAAATAAAGTCCAAATTGGAATACAAACAAAATTATCGGGAGCAGACGAAAAAAGTATAAACTTTGTGGTATTTGAGCTTGAACTCTATTTGTGAATGAAACAAAGTCGATAATTGTTTGTAAATAATTGTAGAGTTATTTTGCAGATAAGGCAGCACGTGTTTGTGTATAATCACGTTTATATAAATATATATACTATACTATGTATCTATAAGTATTAACACAGTGGAGAGCAAAGTTTGTCTAATGTAAACGTTTGTGAATATCGGTTACTCGTACCATAAGAATCTACGCTTTGGAATCTAGCACCTAACTTCTATGATAATTAATATAGCATTTACACAGTAAAATTAAACAAATGAAGTATTTTTTTTCAATACTTCCTAACTGATTACTCTGAGTAGAATCATCGCAACAACACACTGACCACTCTTTGTAAAACTACCAACAGAATCCAAGCCAAAGGACAAAAGACCTACTCAGAGGACAAAGGACAAGCTAGCGTTGTGTTTTAAAAATTGTATAGACTGAAACGTTTTATCCCTGACGTTGTCCCAAAATTTTGCACAGGGCAAGTATGAGTCAGATACGAAGCTCCATCAAAATTATTTAGGTTTTTTTTAGGAACTTGTAGAAGTTCCTAAAAAGAGGTCCTAGCTTTAGCAAACAATCAAACAAATAGAGTTATCCTAAATAAAACTATAAAAAACGCATTTTTATACTTAGTTTTTTTTACGTAAATAAACTAGTATGAGAACATTTTTTCCTTATCATATATTTTAGAATTCTTATCTCTTTCAATTATGTAAATACAGAGGACGTCCTCTAGGTATGCCTACTTAAAACCTGTTAGCAAAGAAACCACACTCTGGTTTCTTTGGAAAAACAACCATTTAAAACTAGTGTACTTTTTCTATTTTTTCAAAACCACATAATAAAATATTCCAGTGTACCTTGAGATAATATTGACAAAATTAATTCGTAACTCTACGGTTCTAAAATGAAACTTGCTTAAAAAATCTTCTTCTCAGGCGCATAGGGAACAATTTGACCGTAGCATACGTGACTATTGTTAACAAATAACTGAGCATTCGACCACGAACTTAAACTGAACAATATCAACGGCTAGCAAAGATTATAGGACACCTTTAAACGATTGTTTCCGAAACTTTCAGACTTTCCAAATTACCCTCCCCTTCCCCAATCTCCCCAAACGATCCTCAAACTCCTAATCCCCAAATTGCCGGTAACGCACTTGTAACGCCTCTAGTGTTCCAGGTGTCCATGGGCGACGCCGATTGCTTTCCATCAGGTGATCAGGCCTCGTTTACCGGCTTATGCCACAAAAAAAAACTTTCATCAACGACACGGACACGGACAGACGACCTGATCAAGGTCGCAAGGAGCCGCTGGATGCAGGTCGCTTCCAACCGGCCTATCTGGAAGTTATTGGGGGAGGCCTACGTTC